TTCAATCTTTGATATATTTTAAATTGGGGATATTTTTACTATATTTATTAAACAAAACGTTAAATTAATTTCATTAATATGAAAAGAAAAAGAAAGTTGAACAAGTAAGGTACCAAAAACTTTATTTTTAAAAATCAAAATTAAAGAAAAATAATTATTCTAAAGAAAAATAAAACAATTAATAACCAGTTCGGTGTCCTCTAGATCTTAGCAGTGCGTTAACACACTTCGGCATTCCTATTATTCGGTGGTTAATGTTTTCTTGAGGTAAATTATTCCTCTCTTCATTTACTGCTGCAGCCAGCTCATTTAGGGTTGTAGGTGGATCAATTATGTTCCGTACGGCTCGAGCTATAGTGTCCCAAATGTTTTCAATGGAGTTCATGTCTGGGCTGTTTGCAGGCCACGGCAATCTCACTATTTGGCTCCTATCTTGAGCCCGCTGGTCCCTTCTCGCTCTATGTGGCCTTGCATTATCATCCATAAAAATGAAGTTGTTACCGAATTCATTTCCCAACGGTTGAATAATGGGTTGTATAACATTTTCTTCATAAATTTCTGCAGTCATTGTCCCCTGGATCTGAGTTAAAGGACTCCGGTGGTTAAACATTATGCCTTCCCAACACATTATTGATTCGCCCTGATATGGGACAACTTCTCGGGCCAAATTTAGTCGCTGTTGATGTCCTGGTTCTCTCCAAACCCTTATTCTACGGTCATCTCTCGCCAGTCCAAATCTAACCTCATCTGTAAATACCACTTTCGCCACTGTGGTGAAAGCCACTCCTGATGTTGTCTAGCCTACTGGAGACGAGCAGCAATTTGTCTACGAGTAAGACGTGGAACCCTTAAAGGTCTTCTAGGGCGCAAATTTGCCATTGTAAATCTTCTTCTGATGGTAGAAATGGAAATAACTCTTCGAAAGGTATGTTGAATATGCGATCTGATAGCTGTACTTGTTGAAAATCTATTCCTTCGGGCAAATAGAGCAATGTAACGGTTCTCCCTATAATCTGTTACTCGAGGACGCCCACTGCGTGGCCGATTTTCAACTGAGCCAGTTTCTTGGAATCTTTGAATTGTTCGAATAACCGAACTTCTTGGGATACCCAAATCCAGTGCTATTCGGTGATTTGAAAATCCAGCTTGGAGAGGGCTACTATTCGTGTTCTATCAAAACCAGAAATTTCAGCTCGCGGCATTTTAAAAGTTAGAGTATAAAATTTTATTTTAATACTTTTTGCTCAAACACTACCGTTAATCTGACTTATTTCTATAAAAATCCAAACACATTTTTTTTTCCCAAAATCATTGATAACGTACCTCTAGACGGATTTATCCAGGGGGTCCAACATTTTTGATGATGTGTGTAATTCATTAACACCAATATTAAATACTTTCACCTAAACTAACTTAACCTTAAAAGATATAATTAAACTGTTTCATTTGGAGCAGGTAAACTGATTTTAAAGTTCATTAATTTTAAACAAATTGGTGTAGTTAATCTAAGTAAACGGTGTATTAAATTTAATTAAACGATTGCGTTTTGTTTCAATTAAACCAGTTTCATAGCTTCATGTAAACTGTTTTAGAAATCAACGTTTAATTAAATCAATTAAACTTGTTAGCTGTCACACAGTTAGTTAAATTTTCTAATTGGCCCAATTAAAAGTTCAATTGACTTGATTAAATTTTCTTCTCAGTGTGGATAATTATACCACAAGTTGTTTCGAAAGCATGGGAATATATTGTAACAAGAATGAATAGTACTGTTGGCGCTATCTGTTGGGGACCGCGTCAGACTCTCCTTCGGTGCGAGACTGGTGGCGACATCTGTTGGCGACCGCGCCAGAGACTCTCCTTCGGTGCTGGCGACATCTGTTGGGAACCGCGCCAGGGACCCTTATTCGAGATAGACGCGAAGTGACCTCAAAGATTCTGGACTGCCGCTATGTGGCTCACCAGAACCTTCTCGAATCAACGAGTACCTGCGATACGAACTATATAAGTCGACGGCCGGGAGAGGGTAGCAGAGTAGAGTAGAGTAGGGTTGGTTGAATGGCGCGACATAATAATTCGTAAATAAGTAGTCAGACATAAATAGTGGTGTACATAAATTTTCTACCTAGTCAAGTTAAATAAATTAGTGTAATTCTTTTGGTAAAATCCAGTGTTTTACTCCACACCTAAAAGAATCTAGAAAAACGCTACAATATAGAACAAATCTACTTGACTTTATTTTTTTAAATCACTCGCCGACTGATAGCGTTTAACCAGAAAATGTTTTAACCCAGTTGTATTTAGTTATTATTTGAAAAGTGACTCTCTGATCTGCCAAAAAATTGTGCTCTCTTTCCAGCAGGATGTTAGCTGTTGATATCTACGCGTCTGTTTCGTAGGTATTACGAATTACGAAATTTGGTTTGTTATCGAATTGTAACCGAAAAAGGTATTCGAGTAATCGAGAAAGTTTTTCACTAGAACACGTATTAGTGGATGATATCAAGAATATTTATGATTATAATATGCGATTATGAAAATGAAAGTAAAAGTTACAATTTTCTCTCGCACACCATATGAATCTAGTTTTTAATTGTGTAACATGCATTCCACAACTCGATCAAAAAAACGTTATCTACTATGTCAAACATGGTATGGCCATTGGAGAAACTGTGCATTGACTTAAACAAATAACGGCTCTTTTTATTCACCTAACGAACTACGAAAGAAAAAGGCTGAATAGCAGTGTATACCTAGGCACTAAAGAGGGGATGTAATAAAAATCACAAACACTGAGAACCAAATTTGTCTGTTCAATGTGTACGATAGAGAAGTGTGTATAAACACATGTTAGAAAGAGATAGAAGTCGGCTGGAAAGCGAAGCCCATCACCGCCTTGCCTAGCAATGCTGACGCGGCAATCTGCCGAGTTGCCAATATGTTATACCAGGGGCTTGATTCTAAATAAGTTTTGACCGTTGAAATAGATTTCGATGGCGCTTTGTGACGATATACTTGATTAGCTATGATAATTTTGACACTGCCATGATAATTTGAATATAGAAGATCAATATAATCAGATGTCAAAATTATCATAGCGAATCAAGTATATCGTCACAAGACGCCATCGAAATCAATTTCAACGGTCGAAACTCATTTAGAATCAATCCCCTATTCCTTGAATTAAGACGCATGTTGAAAATATGCGTTAGTTTATTATCTACGTACAAAAAAAAGGTTTTATTTTGAGCGTAATATATTTTTGAATTGCGAAATCTGTTTAGGATCGATTCCGGCGCTCCATTTTAGGTAGAAATGTCATGATCACTTGGCAGCACCGCATCTCGTACATTCCAAGGCAAGATTTCCACCTCCACTATCATAGATGAACGATTTTGGTCAGTACCCATCTAGCCTTCATTGGGGAGTGTAATCATGCTTGGAAATTGTTTTCACCTTTGTACACGCAGGCAGTGATAATTTATATTGCGTAATGGTATTTGTTACATTTTCCGACCTCTCATTGTCGCAAACTGTAACAATAGCTCAGGATGCGTTGATTCTTTCACCATCGGAAGAAATCAAAGATAATTATGTAATAAATTAAAACACTAAGTCGCATCAAAATCGAATTAAGTACTTCTAATCAAAATGAAAACAAAATACAAAATTAAATGTTCGATCAGACCTATCTCCTTCTGGGTTTGATAGTAAAAGCTAACTCATATTGTAGAAGTTGGTGCGAACATTTTCTGGTGTAACATAGCGACGCGGCAGATTGCACGACTTTCTGCGTCACCTTTGCTAGGTAATGCGATGATGACCTTCGCTTTTCAGCCAGCTTCTATCTCTTTCTAACATCTGTTGATAAGTACACGCTTCTCTCTAGTACACATTGAACTCAAGCCATCAAACAAATTTGGTTTTCCCTGTATAAGCACCTCAGGCGAGAGCTTAGAAAAACAGATTACCTTAATGTAATGCAATGTTATCCAATCTTTCGAGGAAGCTCATTGCCGTATATAATTATTACAGTTTTACGATATACTGATTTATTCTTTGCTACTATTGTATTGTTCTTCACTCGTTTTCGAGGAATATGAATCGATTTACCACGAATCACATCTCGCTAACATGTTGACGTAATTAGGTATGTCAAAAATGTATTAATCAAATTCAAGCGGATAACCAAATGGAAATGGTATTTACCATTTTGGATTGGTATTTACCGATCCGTTCAAGCGAGTGTGGTTATCAGTTTGGTTATAAGATCCGTGACGTCACGAATCAGCTGTTATATGTCATAGTTATCACCGCAAAATTGTGGTATTTACCCAACTCCGGAGTAGTTTTATATTTCTGGTTATTATTTGACATGTGACAAGTTAAAATTTTGCCGGGTATTAGATATATTTATTGTACTTCAGCTTCATTTTTGGGAAACTTGATACAGGCTGACTTCAGTTTTAGCATAAGAGAGCACTTTATTATTTATAATCATCACTGTTGTTGGGGACACTTTAAATCTAGTTCCTCCACAAAAAGTATCCTGTATAGCCATATACCACAAGAATATTAAAATATGGCCGTATAAACTCACTGGATGATGTCCACCTGTATACGATTTTGTTAATATCTTTTTTCATCGCTTTTTCATCATTTCTGCTAAATCAATAAATATTTTCTTTGACATGCGGAAAAGCTTAGAGAATTGAAAGTTATCATAGCTACAAAGCCATGGTTCCATCAGTAAAAATTTTTTTCGGAAAAAAAACATTCCTCCCATTAATATTATGAAAGTTTTCTTTTTTTCAACTTTCCATACCCCGTTGTAGACGAAAAAGCACCGATTATTAAGTGATAATAAAAATAATCAGAAATTATATACGGGCTTTTCTAAAATAAACAACTTGCAAAAAACCGCGGTTAAAACCAACGCGTTCAAGCGATTCGAGTAACTGACGTCACCATCCCGTGTGTCATCTTGAACCATATTATAACCGCGGTACATAATACGGAAATTTTGGTTATCCGCTTGGATTTGATTATTGATTACTCTGAACAACTTACGAGCTCTGAATAATACTAACCCATTAATCCGTGGAGTTATTTCTTAGAGAATTGACCGTTACGACCTTCGTTGTTTCTGTATAGTACCTATCAAGAATGTAAACAGTCTGCCAGAATAAGAGGGTCTCCCATTTCACATTGGTTATACTGACAATTAGTGTATGACAATGTCAGATTCTCCTTTAAATTGTGACGTCTCGCTTCTTGAACTTTGAGCTTCAAAAACGAATCCTTGATTTTGTATGAACAAGTTCAGAACCAATCAGACAGCTTGATCCCATCTCTAGACGTATGACTTTTTGACAATACACATAACCTCATTTTTATTGTACAGACTACAGAGCTACATAGTTATTCTTGTGGTTTACATTACAAAAGAATTAAAATATTTTATTTTATTTTGATTCCTTGATAATAGCGAGGTGATGGTGAATAAAAGAAGCAATGGATCAAACTATTACAGCTAATACATCTACAGACAATGTTGACCCATCAAAAGAATTCAAAGTCAAAGGTAAGCAATATTTATATATTTTCCTAAGAGAAAAAATCAACATTTGGCTAATTTTTTAGCTGCTTTCTTCCTTGCTGGGGTGTCCGGCATATCAGCAGTTATTGGTTTTGGGATGACTGTTGCCTCATCCAAAAAGCAGGACCCCAAATATTTTAATAAAGGCATGATGCCAACAAGGGAACTGCCAGAATCAGGGGCAAATCTGGCTATGCGAGCTCTGGGCTGGGGCACATTGTATGCAGTCACAGGGTGTGGAATTTTGTTTTATAGTATTTGGAAACTATCTGGAGCACATAATGTAAGTATATTTACCAGTGTGCAACCCTAGCAAAGTTTGCACATTTCAAAGACAACAGCAGCTATTTTAATAAATCATTGATATTTAGCCTACATCTGCTTAAAAGTTCTCCCTCACCAGGATGTGCATAATTAAATCAACCTATTAAAATATATGTCAACTCCCACATGCAGTGACAAGACAGATGCCAAATCAATAACTTAGGTTACTTTGCCATGGTCTTCTGGTAGGAGAGGGCTCCAACTGCATTTAGTCTCATTCAGATTCAACCAACAATAGATTAAACATCATATTTCAATTTTATGATTAATTTTTAACTATTTTTTTTATAGTTTGTGGAATTCAGGCATAAAATGGGAAGCATACTGCCAAATGTCCCCAGAAACAACCCACCACAAGGTAGAACTGAATTTAGTGGGCTAAATGACTTATTAGATTATTTACAACACCAAAAGGGCTCTAAGGACAAATGAAACAAGTTGTGTGATATTTCTAGTTTTTACTTAAAATAAAGTTTAGTTGTAAGAGTTAGCCTTGTGTTTTGGTAAAAACTGAAAATTTTCAGGTACTGGTCCTAACAACATCTCGCTGATCTTGATCCAATCTGAAGCAGATGGGGATGCCATTAGTGTCTCTAAATCATCCCTACCTCTAAAATGAGGAGGTCTTTGATTTATCTTTTGAGGTGGATCTTCAAGTAGTCCTACAGGAACATATCTATATAAAAATGACAGCCATTCTAATAGAAATCTCCTAGTATTTTCAACACCTTTGTTGTCAGATCCCCAATGCTCCAAACCATAATTTACATATTTCTTCAGAATATCAAACCTTTCTGAGCTTGATATATCGTAAAGTTTAGTCTCTTTTATCTCTTGAAATATCCAAGGTTTTATTAGGGCACCTCGACCAATCATAACTCCAGAAATGGCTGGTGCTACTTCTCTAGCTTTAATATAATCTTCATAACTCAAAATGTCACCATTTCCAAACACAGGCATTGGACTAGCTGCTTCAGCCACAGTTTGTATATAATTCCAATCTGCTTGTTTTGTATACCTCTGTTCTCTAGATCTTCCATGGATTGTCAACATACTTACACCCCATTCTCTGAATTTTGGAGCCTGCAAAAATCATCATATAAACCACATTTTGCAACACTAATCTCAACATCTGTCTAGAGATGAGAGACCTTCCTTTCAATCCAAGACTGAAATCAATCGTACATTGCTTTACATTTTATGCATATTTTTCAAAGAAACTTTTTTTAGTGGCGTCGTTAAAAGGAATGAGCTACTGTAACGCCTCATATCGTCGCAAATATCAACTATTTCCAGGCAATGATTGCTCCTTAACAGCACATAATCATTCATGAGTTATCATAAGAGTTGAATATCAGCAAAGAAACGGTTCTCAAGGCATTACACGAGAACATACAAATTCTGAAAGATGGTGGCAAAAGTTCTTATCAGTTCCTAATTGCCGCATCTACCCTATACCCCAGGTAACTGTAACTATAATGATGGTTAGCTATCATAAGAGCAATGTTGAAATCATTTTGCATAACGTTGGAGATTCTAAAGACCAATGTAAAACTGGCTAAAATTAATTTGCTTGTTTTTTTATACATTCACAGATCCTAGATGCCCCACCATATACATATATAAACACATTTCATTTTCCTTCAAATCTTTAATTGGAAACTTGTCAGCAGAAGACTGAAAATATAATAATATATAAGATAATCGCACCAATATTGTTATAGAGAAACAGAAACATATAGGAATAATAACAGATATTGCAGTTCCACTTACGCACAACCTCAAGTGTGTGGAAAATGAAAAACGTTCTAAATATCAAGAATAGAATTCTACAGAGAATCCAAAGGTTTTGAACCCTCCATTTGTTTTTTATACTGAAGCAGCCGTGTAGTCAAGAACCTAAATACCAAGACTGGAAACCTGCTATGAGGAACCCAAAGAAATGTTGATCCAGTTTTTGAACTGTTTAACGTTAGTAGAACTGGGAAAGCCTCCTCTTCTAGATTCTTCCACAATCTCGACACCCTCGGAACAAAGGAGCGGTCGTATCTGCCAGTCCTGGATGTACGAAGTTCGACACGGTTAGGGAGTCAGGCGGGTCTGCCTTGCAGGCACATCGCGCGGCGGCATCATGGAGGGGAGCTCTGAGGGGCAAAGCCCGTTGCTTTAGCGGTAGAAGAGAGCTAGATCCCCGCCGGTGCCGAAGGGCCCGAGACTGTCTGTTAGAGAAGAGTCATCGATGAGTCGGACAACCCGCCGCTGGACAGCATCGAGCATAAAAATGTAGTCGGTGCGGCAAAACCCCAAACGTGCTGGCAATATTCGAGGCTAGATCTTATCTGAGCCTTGCATACAGGGAGATCATCAAGAGAAAAGTACTTCTTAGCCCTAAACAAATAGACTAGCTTTTTCCCAGCAGCTGTCGCTATTGAGAGGTGTTCATGCTAGATCAAGTCCTCGGTGATCTGCACTCCGACAAGCCGAAATAGTAGTAGTAGTAGTATAAGGATTGTTTGCAGAACTTGGCCATCCATCGAAACCGGATGAGCGCTAGGACGCTTTTTGTTCGTCAAGGTACAGTACTTTGTTTAGGAAGCATTAAACAGTACAAGACTGTTGCATGCCCAAGCAATGATAACCCCAGGCCTCTTATCAGAGAGGAAGTCGCCGCTAGTCTTTTTTCCAGCTTACCGGCAGAGATTGGCTTCTCGGTCTGAATTCCTGCATGTGGCAAGTGTGGGTTGATTGTACAGGAAAGATGGTGGTTGATACATAAGAGGAGCAGTGTCGGAAATTTCCAGCTTTCTGGGAAGGTGCCGGATCGTAAGAGATGCGAAAGAACTGGAGCAAGCTCCGCTGTACACACACCTCTTCAATACAATGGCAGGAATCAAGTCCGGTTCAGAAGCTTTGTTGATGTCGAGCGACAAAAGCCCGTCTTATGGTAGTATGCCTAAATGTTACTTCCCGCATAATGTAGGGAACCCTTTGAATCGGCGGCTCTTGGACGTTGGGTATAGTTGGCAGCAAAGGTCTTGGCAAGCACTTCCGCCTTAGCCTTTGAGTCAGTTACAATAGGAAGTGATTCTCGAGACTTGTCGGTTTACAAGAGGGTTTTCAAAGATATAAGACTAATGGTGAGTCATAATGAATTTCGTTCCAGAGTCAGTCTCTATAAACATCAGGTGGCTTAGATATTACCAGCCTAAGCTGTGAAAACCTAGAATAATAATGATGGTATTTATTCATTTACGGTTTTCTATTACACACTAAAAAAACATTACAATTATGTGACAAATTACACTAGCTTTATTTAGAGTGTTAAACTAAGGAAGAACTAAAGAGTCAAGTGATACCCAACCTACTTATATTGGAGGCCTAACAAACTAAAGTTAAATAGAAACATTTTTTATATGTTTTTTTGATGTGCTTGATATTGCCACTACAAATATCTATATTGTAGCTTACAGATATAATATGATGCATATTGCTATTTAAGGTGCTGCTATAAAACTCTTAAGTTCAGGAAGAGAACACACAAAGATATGACAGAAACTCAATATGCTGTTGAAATTCATACACATGAGTGAGGCAAATGCTTTCCCTGGTTTGTTTGTTAGAGTAAAGCTCTTATATTTTATCATTGTCCCATGTAACCAACCTGCTATCATATACTCACCATAGTATGTGCTATATTTTTTCCACTGTAAACTCCAGTTCTAGTCTTGACAGTAAAAGGCACAGTGAGGATATCACTCATACTCCTGATACAGAGCTCAAGGGCCCGTTCTCTATGCAGAAGCCCACATCCACCTCCTTGCCTATATACTAAATCAATAGGACATCCCATATTTAGATCCACAAAGTCAACATCAATTTCATTCAACAAAAGTTGGCCACATTTTGTTAAGAGGAAAGAATTATTAGCGCAGAGTTGAATGCCAAATAAATCTTCACTTTTGTGTCTTTTTACTAAAGCCCATTCACTGCTTTCTCCTTGTAAAAGAGAACTACACATTGCCATCTCACCACAGGTGATATCTGCTCCATATTCTTTGCAAATTCTTCTGAATGGAAGATTGCCAACAGTTGTGAGTGGGCTAAGATATAGTTTGTCACTCCAATCTATTTTCCTCTTTTCTCTTTGCCTTAACTTTATTATATCTTCATCAGTGATAGCTCCTTGAGTTACATTGTTGCTGACTATGGGTTTTTGAACAGGTTGTTCTGATTTTTCCTTAAAGAAATAATGATAGATACTGTAAAAACTAGAATATTGAATTTCATGATCAATATTTTCCTTTAAAAACTTCAAAAATGCATTTTGCTACAAATTCAAAAAAACAATACAACATAAGCTACTGATGCAATTTCTAGATACTCACCTTTTTTAAATGATCATGATGTTTGACTAACTGTTCAGCTAACTTGAAGTCATAATGTCTCTTCTTTAAGGATAACTGCAACTCCTTCCCTAAATTATTCCTTGTTTGAAGTTCATATTTGGAATATAATTGTTCATTAATTATATTTCTACCACTGGGTGTGATATGTTCACTTCCAAATCTACATGCAAGGCCTCTATTGCACTTCCCAAAGGTTTCAAAATTATAACAATGTTCTCCAATATCTTTTGGCTTGATAGTAAGGTAGTTGTCAATATCATGAATAAAATTGCATTTGTTTCTGTTACATCCTGGGATGTCATTGCCTTCTGGTACATCTATCATACAAATGCATAGTTCTTTACTCCTGTTTGTGACATATGTTGGTGCTCGGGACTTATTCTGGCCTCTGAGTTTCTTTTTCTCTGCCTTGGAAAGTCTCTGCCTTTTCGAAGAACTTTCAACATTTTCTGCATTTTTTTCTGTAGATTCTTCATTATGTTGCTCAAGTTTCCTTTTATCTGTGTTTGAAACATGCGATAAGTTTATTTCTCTAGTAACGGCAGGCAAAATGAATCTAAAAAAAATGACAACTGGAGTAAAGATTTTTCTGAAAAATTAATTGCATACTCTGATTTGACTTGGCATATTCCTGGTCCCTCCATTTTATTTGTAACTAATATCACAACACTCACAAAAACAATACTTCTCTGAAATGTGGTAAGCAGTACAAGCTCACGGGATCTACCACAAACCACAGTCTAGCATAATTATAATTATAAAACAGAGGTTAGAAACAGGGTTGCCAACTTAGTAGATTTTCTACTAGATCTGGTAGATTGCAGTCTTCATTTAGTGGGCAAATTTACGTTTTAGTGGCTAGTAGAAAATCCAGTAGAATGAAAGAATCAGAATAATTAGTAAGCCACTTTCGATTTATATCATTATGAACCTTAGTTACTCAAGTCAATTTGTCAATTGAAGTAATAATTCAAGAAAGTAGCAAACTGTCATTGGGAAATATCCTATTTTGATTTAGTTGAACATCGAATCGATAGATGGCAGAACCAATGAATTAATTTGCGTATGCGTACTTCTTCTCTTAGTTCTCCTTTGTCGGAGATCAGGGGTATGAAAGTCAGATGAACGATTTTGCGCCTCGTTTTGGGACATCTATTGGGGTTGCACATCACTAACTGCATGATGTTTGCCAATTCCTTCGGTAGATGGCGCGAGAAATTCAGCCGCCATCTTTTTGTCACGTGATTTGATCACGTCACGTTCTGAGCTTCATCCACGGGAATCACAGACATTGTTTTTTCTTGCACAGACAATTGAAGTTTATCTCGTATACGATGATTTAGGTGATTTTTGAACATTATTTACAGTATAATTTGTGTGCTTTCTAGTAGCTATAGCATACTATTCTGCTATTTTAAGACTGCCTGCCTAATTATTTGATTTTGGTAAGTGAGCATGATACTGATACATATATGATGTAGATTACTTTGAATTATTATGTATATGTATTACAGATTACAGAACCATGCCTAAACCGCAATATACTCAAAAGTTTCGAGACGCATGGTTAAAGGACCCTAGTTTAAAAGAATGGCTGTTGGTTATTGACAGCACTTTAGGAAGGGAAGCTAAATGCAAATTTTGTAGTAAAATAATTACGAGTCATTACGCCGACCTTAAGAGCCATGGTGAATCCAAAAAGCATAAGGAAAACGCAAGATTTGACTGTATTAATAGTGAATTATTTTTATTTTTAGATAGTGTATTTTTTATTATTCGTGCAAGGACTAAAATTAATGCGTCTATTTTTGTTTCGTTTCTAGATAAAATATATTTTGGCAATATTACTAAATGTTCTGCTTTTATTTATAGATTTACCTTTATCTTTAATATTTACAAAATATATTTTCACAATATAGTATTACTAATTTGAAATAATATATGTCCAAAAATCTAAATTAGAGTAAAAACTAAAAATACATAATATGCGCACACGCCTTTAAAACCTAAAACGTAATTAACTGCAAAATGAGGGTTAGCTATAACTACAGTATATTCAGATAAGAGATAGATCGGATGTAAACAAAAGGTTCGGGTGATTTTCACGCTAACGCCTGTAACGCTTCCTTTCCGCAAAAAGTCCAGAAAAGATGGAATGCAATGAAGATTCCAACTTTTCTGCACAATCACAGAAAGGGGGTTACATTTAGCTTCCGGTAGCTCAGTCGGTGGCATGAAGACATCTACAGGCGTGTAGCTGTGTGTCGACCATGGCATGGCTAGAGGATAGAAGAACAAACAGAACACAAAAATTTAACAGATTTTATTTAACAAAAAAAAAGGCATTTTCATTACATTACAATTTTACAAAAATAACAAAATAAGTTTTACATCTTTGGCGCTGCTATAACGCTATCGACTTATCTTTCGCTGGTCCATTTTTACTCGACTGAAGCCAGGATGGCCAGGGGCTTGAAGGGGAGGTCCCAGTTATGAGGGGTGACCTCCATATAGTGGCTTCACAACCAGTTGTAGGCGAAGTTAAAGGCGATGGCGCTGCCAAGGTACATGCATGGGTGAAAATATTGGCCAAGGCTAGGCAAAGTGAAAGGGAAAGAGAAAGGGGGTGGCACCAATCATTTTTGTCCTATACGGACACACATTCTAGAAAATTCTAGCACATGGTGCTATATAACCTTGTGCTACTGAGAAGAAATTTCTAGCCGTTGTTCGATCGGCGGCTCAAGTGAAAAGGAAGCGCGAGGAAGATCGCAGATCAGGAACTCCGCATCAAGCGCTCCAAGCGGAAAATTTTCCAAGCAAAAAAGCTAGAGATGGGATTAATGAAATGATAATCGAGAAGTGATTTAATAAATACGATCGGACGGTGAAACCGTTACACTCGCCCCAACTTAACCAAAAAAAAAAATAATCGAAGAAGCATTTAAGAATTTTTTTTTTTTTTACTAGGAAATTGAAAGTTATCACGGAAGGACAAATGTACAACCATTCGACCAGATAACAAGTAGTAAAAGTAAGGTAGAAACAAAAATGTTAGAAGAGAATTGGAAGAAAAAGGGATAGCCTCAAGTCTACCAAACAAGAGGGATGGTTATAGCACCAACTCGCTGAAAAGTACAGTGAAGTTGCACTTAAAAAAAACTATCATCATATGTAAGTACCTAAACCATAAGAGGTACTAAAAAAATAATAATCTTTCTCAAAACAATTGCCAGATTATCTCGCAATACTCCAAACCCAAAAAGATTATGATCTACAGTGATATTTTAAACCAATATCCAATATAAAAAAACTGTGCATTACTATTTTCAAAATATGAAAATCAAAAGAAATTAACAAATTCTATTAAGAATTCCAGTTATATAACAAAACAATTTACAAGTACTAAACCAATGAAAACTTGATAACGAAGGTATTTTAATCAAAAAAGATGTTAACTAAGTGCAGTTCTGATTCCACAAAAAAATTGTCGGGCGCCAGCAGTCTGTAAGACTACAAAATAATTCAAAATATTTTCAGAGAATTAAAGTATATAAGGGACATTCATGAAATATTGAAGTAAGATTTTCAAAGTCAAAATATAGCTTAAGTTCAATCAATGAACTAAAATTCAAGAGTAAGTTCAATCAAAATTTTCGGGTCATGTGACAACATAAGAACCAGACCAAAAAAAAAATTTGAAGTACAATATAGAAAAGAGCAAAATAAATTTCCAAAAAAAACTAAGTGCAACACAAGTGCAACTGTAAATCTAATAGTGTTAAAATCATAAAGTGAAAGGAAATATTAAAGCTATATGAGCATGATTTTATAAAGGGTTCTCAAAAAAATTTAAAAGTAAGCAAAATATTAAAAGTTTCATGAGTAATAAATGAGAAATGAAGTGAGCATATGTAAAATGCAAAATAGCGAAACGAAAATCACAAGATATTTTATTAAATCATGATACATGAGAGTAATGCCGCAAGCAAAAATTGTATGCAAAAGACTACGATATATGTAGGTGCAAAATTGGAGTTATAAAAAAAAATCTAGTGAACAAGAAATAGAAATAAATATGATAGGTAAGAATTCGAATTTTGATTTAAAGCAAAAATATGAGAGAAAGACAACTTTCTAGGGTCACCATAGGTGCATTCCAAAGCCCTAGACAAGAATGTCTATAGTCTATGGAATATTCTCATGTAGATCACTGATATCATCAGCGCACTTCAAAGTCTACACTGAGAATAACCATAACATTGTAAAATGAAAGTTAAGTTCAAATATGAAATATTACAAGATTAGAAAAACTATAATAATTTACCAGTGTAAAGTATGAAAAGAGAATTACTATACTGAATCTATAAGAATTGGCGATTACTTCAAGTCAAGACAGAAATTGAAAGAAATAAGAAGCCGGAAAAAAGATTATGAGAGCAGACTATCAAAACAAATGCAATAATGCAAAAGCAAAATCACCAGATATTTCAATATCTATAGCGAAACATGAAAGCAATGTCGCAACCAAGCTCAAGACTTAGCAATACGCACAAATATGCACAAAGGCTGAAAGCATATATGAAAAATCTCAAGAAGGAATTGACAATTACTTCAAATCAAATTGAACTGATTGAACTGAGACATAAATTACTATATCAAAAGTGAGTTTTACTTATACGCCAGAGGTTTCAAGAGTTTATCAATACGCACAGATTTGCAACTAGGCGGAAAGCATATATGACAAGTCTCAAGAAGAAAATAAAATGCATATGAAGAAAACACTTTCAATTAAAGAAACTGTGGATAGTACAAGACCCTCAAGGCATACATCGCAACGAATCTATGTAACTATCCAGACTACAAAATACTGTCAAAGTTCAAAACCACTCAAAAATATGTAAACAAACATCAAAAGTTTGAACCAAAAATCAATGTAAGTCTGTGCTCTCGAAGAAAGTTATAATGAATTCAAAAAGAGGATACTATCAAAAACTTCAAAAGTAATAGACTTCAAAAATAGAAGTACGTAAGTATGTAAAGGAAATTCAGAAAATATACGCATAAAAACATTATAAAATATTATACACAGTATTTGTCACATGATTTAGATCGGGAATGCAATTTAAATTTTGAGTACACTCAGAAAAATGAAATATTCAAAAGATGAAGTATACACATTAAATTGGAATCAGAAAAATAATGATTACTTGTAAATTTTGTACATGGTGGACTGACGTAATGGTTCAAAAGGTTGAAAGAACAACGATGACTAATGTCCAAAGTAAACATTCAACTGCCTTTTACAGTAAATTAGCTTAGCAATTATCAAAGGAAATTCTTATCCGTTCGCATCTGTACTAGGAAATAAATATAGGAAAACCTACTCGCCCCAATGTACAGATCGAAAAACTCGCCCCCTTCGATTGAGCGGAAATATGAGTATTGGACAAATTGTAATATCTCAAAAGGTTGAAGGATCAACGATGTTAAATGTCCAAAGTAAACATTCAGCTGCCTCTTACAGCAAATAAGTTTATTCATTATCAAAGGAAATTCTTCTCCGTTCGCATCTGTACTAGGAAATAAACATAGGAAAACCTACTCGCTCCAATGTACAGATCGAAAAACTCGCCCCCTTCGATTGAGCGGAACTATGTATTGGACTGATTGTAATATTTCAAAAGGTTGAAGGATCAACTATGTTAAATGTCCAAAGTAAACATTCAGCTGCCTCTTACAGCAAATAAGTTTAATCATTATCAAAGGAAATTCTTGTCCGTTCGCATCTGTACTAGGAAATAAACATAGGAAAACCTACTCGCTCCAATGTACAGATCGAAAAACTCGCCCCCTTCGATTGAGCGGAAATATGAGTATTGGACAAATTGTAATATTTCAAAAGGTTGAAGGATCAACGATGTTAAATGTCCAAAGTAAACATTCAGCTGCCTCTTACAGCAAATAAGTTTAATCATTATCAAAGGAAATTCTTCTCCGTTCGCATCTGTACTAGGAAATAAATATAGGAAAACCTACTCG